CTTCCTGAAGCTTATAGTCTCTCTGTATACCTTCCAACATTTAAACACAAAAATGAATAGGTCTATATAATGTATATGCAGTGCTTTGCAATAATCAAGTGCAGCTATTGATTTTGATAAGAGGAAGTCATGACTGCTTTTGTGAATATTTCTAACGGTCACTTGTGGATGCTGGGGGGGGATATTTTTTCTGTGTTTTCATCTCATTTCTTAGGCAGATGAAGGCGTTTTTACCACACTTCTCAAGTTAAATAACGTAGTGAATCTGAAAGACCTGAAACGCCACATTACTGTACCAAGGAACTTCAGAAACAACACCCACACGCACCCTGCCCCGTGCAGTAAATCAGCAAGGGAGATTCTCTGTTGGCTGAAATGTGAGGTGGAAGGAATATATGTAATTTACTCCACCTTTATGAAATATCTGTGTGTGTCCATCCCTAGCGTGGCCAGCAGGACTAGGGAAGTGATCATCCCTTTGTACTCTGCGCTGGTGAGGCCGCATCTCGAATACTGTGTTCAGTTTTGGGCCCCTCACTGCAAGAAGGACCTTGAGGTGCTGGAGCGAGTCCAGAGAAGGGCAACAAAGCTGGTGAAGGGCCTGGAGCACAAGTCTGATGGGAAGCGGCTGAGGGAGCTGGGGGTGTTTGGTCTGGAGAAAAGGAGGCTGAGGGGAGACCTGATCGCCCTCTACAACTACCTGAAAGGAGGGTGTAGCCAGGTGGGGGTTGGTCTCTTGTGCGCCAGGGGAGGTTCAGGTTGGATATTAGGAAGAACTTCTTCACTGTAAGAGTCGTTAAGCATTGGAACAGGCTCCCCAGGGAGGTGGTGGAGTCACCATCCCTGGAGGTGTTCAAAAAACGTTTAGATGGGACGCTTTGAGACATGGTTTAGCGGGCATGGTGGCGTTGGGTATATGGTTGGACTTGATGATCTTTGAGGTCTCTTCCAACCATAATGATTCCATGATTCTGGACTGGGATGTGCAAAAAAGACCCCCTTCTTTCTGCTTGTCATACTTAACAAAATTATGCACTCTAGTAGGCAACTGTCTGCTTGCAGCATTGTGGTGAAAGTGTCTCACTTTTGTCTTACAAATAAGCTGAGAATTTTCACAACGCCTATTTTTTCTTCCAAATTGTTGGAATGAGGAGGGTTTTAAAAATTTTCTTAGTGAAGTTCTGGTGCCTATATTTGCAGAGTCTAACTGGGAAAACATGACTAGAATTTGTGAAAGCTCACAAGCCAGAGGGCAAGAGGAAAGAAACCCCAAACTTTAAATGTTTGGGTAATGTTGTTTATTTATTTATGGAATAGTAGTTACTTGAGGCTATCAGCATTTTAAAATATGTTTGCACGAAACTGAAGATGTTCTTAAGCTGTTTAGTTTAACAAATAGAGTACTTCAGTACTGGGATCTACAAGGCAATGAGCTGTGAAATAAATGAATAAATATTTCATTATGATATACTAGTAGCCTCAAATTAGCATAGTTTCTGCAAGGGGCAGTTTTATATGTCAGGATTGAAATAATACTTTGCTATAGCCAATTCTTTTTGGTGTCTGAATACCTCAAGGAATAGGTGGATAACAGGTCTGAAATTTCCTGGTGATGCAAAATTGTTGAAATGGTTCAAAAAATTGAATGCATAGTTTAAAAAAGAAGTTTAATTAAATAGAAGTGACCTAGCCAATGGATATTTGAATTGGGTGGATGCAAGGCAGGCCAGCTAATGGATTTTATGAACAGGTATGTTAGCTTTCTAGGTAAAGGAACTTGGCCTACACGTGAAGGTGAATTCTCAGAAAAAGGGTAGGAGAATGAAGTGAAAGCTTGTATTTAAAGTACAATTAAAGTTCATTGAAGCTCAGTATGGATAATACAAACAAGAAGTAAATTGATTATAGTTTCTTTTAACTTGATACATTTCTGGAATACGGGCATCCGTGTAAGAACTGAACTCACGTAGAATTTGCATCTTCAGCTTGTTTCTTACTTTTCAAATATCCTCATGTAGACCTGCAGACAAGAAGTACGGTTTTGTTGTTTGCCACCTTTGTGAGCTGCAGAGGTCATTTATGGTACTAACGTGGGAGCCTGAAATCGGCCTTCCAGGTTTAAGTGCTCTGACCTTGGGTGTGACGTTTTTAATGCAGGACAGGTTTCATAGCCTTACTGATGAACAGAAGTTTTGATTTAATTTTCTGTGTAAGTTATTATGTTGTGCCATTTATGAAGGCATCTAGATGGTAGTTCTGATTTCTGTAACCAAGGTTTTGTTCAACTTTAACATTTTCTCTTAGACAAGTACTATACCATTACTAACCGGTGCAGTTCTGCAGTAGAATAAAGAGTAATTGTAAATGGACACTAGCTGAGATACTACTCAAAATATCTGCATTTTTTGTCTTGTTTCCAGAAGTGCCCTTTCCAGGGAAACTTCTTCCCATTTTGTCAGTTGATGGTATTGAGCAGTACAGGCTGGTCAGAAATGCCCAACCCTCTGCATTGCCCAATTTCTTGAAAATGCCTCCAGGCGTTGTAATGACTTTGAATATAAAAGAAGTCAAGCTTCTGCAGAGAGTCCTGTGAAGGGCCATGAGGATGATGAAGGACCTGGAGCGTCTCTCCTATGAGGAAAGACTGACCGTTATCTCTAATTTATACATGGTCGTTTATAAATGATTTAATAAATTAGAAGATGTTTTGTGCATTGGAGCAGTGACTGTTTGACTAACACATAGGACTCTCTGCACTTAGGGACATTCGTGGTTTTGAATGAAAATACAGAATTGAAACATCTTCACTTCCTGGAAGATGCATATCTCTCTGTTTGTATCACTTAGAGCCGTTGTAATTACCAGATATATAAAGTCTGTGGTTTTGTGGGGGCTTTTTTTAAAACCTTTAATCAGATAAATCTCTGTAAACGTTACCAGAAAAACTCAAATAGAATGCAGTTTCACACGAGAAGTTTGGTCGGTTTTGTTTTTTTTCCTAATTATAAGCATAATGGAGAAAAAGGCAATTATTAATTCTACGTATTTTGTGTATTACTACCATGGGAATAGAAAATTACTATTTCCGTATGTATATGCAAATAACAAACTGCATGATGCTGAAGAATAATTATTTCTTCTCCTGTCTCCCTCATTAGTATTTGTCGGATTTAAATTGAGAAGAGTTAAAAGCTTATTGTTTTGTCATGTTGAGTACCTGTATGAGTTCAAATGCAAGAAGCTTTCTCCTGATGTTGCAGCTATTGCAATAATTCATATTCTCATTCTTGCATAGTTTATCACGTTTCTTCTTTTAGCTCTTTCAATAGTAAATTAAAATTTTTCATGCGCTTCATAACTAGGACAGTCTTATGTATTTGTTGCTTTGTAGTCTAGGGCTGGATCCAGCTGTCACATTGGTGGTGGGGGAACACTATCCTGCACACTCATGTGGTCTTGGGAGGATGTTGACTGGAAAGGACCTCCAGCTGTTGAAGCTGCTGCTGTACTACCTTATCTTCTAAATTAAGAATTTCATAGTGGTAGCAGTTTGAAATAGTTTCTCTTACAACTTGTCATCACTCAAAAAAACACGTTGTGAAGTCTATTGCTTTCATAATGTATAATCTGCTCTTTGATCTGCAAGTCATGGATTTTTGTGATATTTCAGGATTTTTTACAACTTCAAGATCTTAGGCTTTAGGATCTCAGTAGCAAGTTTATGATTTCATAAGGTGGAGGATAACATGAGCCGTTAAAGAAAGTTGTACTTCTGTAGAGATACGTTACTGGTAAAAAATGCCTGTTGCACAGAAGACAGGATTTGCAGTGTTAAGTTTGTCAGCACTAGTTCTGTTCTCTCTTATTGTCTTCTTTTTTTGTTGTTAGTAACTGTATAAATTACATACTCCAATGTGGTGAAAGTATTACCTAAAAAGTAAGCTTGCTGCCTGCATCAATGTTAGTAAATAAAAATGAAGTCCAGGACTCATGATGAAGCTTTGACCCACCATAGTCATACAATCATAGAATCATTTGGGCTGGGAGAGACCTTTAGAGGTCATCTAGTCCAACCCCCCTGCAGTGAGCAGGGACATAGCAAAATCGATCAGGTTGCTCAGAGCCCCATCCAGCCTGACCTTGAATGCCTCCAGGGATGGGGCTTCCACCACCTCTCTGGGCAACCTGCTCCAGTGCTTCACCACCCTCATTGTAAAAAATTTTTTCCTTAATCCATCTTGTTGAATTCTTGGCATGCTCTGTGGTACAGCTTTTGCACATGCCACTTTACCACTCTTCTAGACTGTGCCCAAGCATAGCTGGGGGATGATGCATGCCAGCAGTGGTCCAAATCTCCTGTTCTGGCCCAACCATCCTCTTGAGGAGGGACGACCATTTGACCATAGGGTTGGGCCTCCTCCAAGTTAGAGCACATTCCTTGGCCTGTTTTATTTCCTACTGTAGATGGTAACCATCTAGTTTCACTCTTGTTTCTTCTTCTTGCTAGTTCAAACATTATTTTAAGTCAGTATGTAGTATGATTTTTCATATACTACTTTACTTACTGCTGTTTTTATTTTCACAGTGATGCATGGACGTATGTTTGGTTTATATGCATGATTAGATGCACCTACAAAATTAAAACCTGTTGACCAAGATGGTTCAAGAATAGAGCATACACTCACATGTCTTGAATGCAGGTGCAACTATCTGCTCAGCCTCCTGTCAAGATTTTGATTATATTTAATAAAACAGAAGTAATATAGATAAGGAATTTTTAAATCAAGTTCCTTGCAGTCAAAACGAGTTTCTTACAGAAGTGCAACTCATTTGTGGAGAATATGAATGTAACTTCTTTTTGCTCTTCATGCGCTGTAAATAGTCATTCCAAAAAATTAAACTTAACATGTATTTATTCTAAAGTTGTTTGGGCAGTATTTTAGTCTGTATTGGCACTGAACTGATCTTTCTGTGATGCATACCTACTTCTTTTGCTGTAGGTGAAAAATGACTATATGTTAGAAATAGCAGATCAAGTGGACCAGGAAATTGCTTTGAAACTAGGTTGCCTTGAAATCCGGTAAGCTGATAATTTAATTTATTATTCAACATGTTTCTGACAAAATACATACATTAATTTTGAAAATGCTTATAGTTCATTGATTTCTGACCAGTATAGTTGAATAAAACGTCATAAGACTTTTTTTGCTACAAAGCAGTTTGAAGAAAAACTGAATGGACTGTATTGTAACCAATTTCTAGTGCTTTTTAAATTAACATTAATTTTAAAATTTTAATTAATTACATCTTGATACAGCCTTTTGGATGAATTCTTTGTCTGAATTATTCAAAGGCCTGTAGAGTACGGTGAAGTATACTTAGAAAAAAATGCATCTGTGGTGTTATTTAGCAAATAGACTTGTCATTGTGCATATATATATCCTGCAGCTAAAGAAAGTAATTAAAGATAAATGCTGCTACCTTTCCTCTCTGCGTTTCTTAGTTTTTACTGTGCTATTTTCAAATTATTAAATCTTAAGGATTCTTTTGGGTGTTTTTGGTGGTTTTGTCATCTGTATAGACAGCTGGAAAATAAAGATAAATTTATCAGATTTATGGAGAATTTATGGAGAATTTCCAGCCGGAAACATTTACTTCAGTTACACTGTTGTCTCGTACAGGGAGATTAGGGAAGGAGTAAAATTGATAAGAAATTAATGGGAAATGTAAACTTGTTAGCAGAGAATAAAAGCATCCTTTGAACAGTACTTTCAAAATAAAACAAAATTTAGGCTTATGAAATTTCCTGGGTATCATAGGAGAACCTGATGTCTTTGCTGTAAGTTTTGCTGGTAGCCCCAGAGAAAACAAAAATTCTTTGTGGAACTGCAAGCTCCTTACACACTTACAAGATTGTTGGTGCCTTATTTCAAAAGATGTAATGAGTATAGTAAACGGCGATTATTTTGTCAGCCAAGTCCTGCTTTCCATGCTTCTTGTGCTGTGGCTCTTCAGAGCGTTTTCATGAGATATTTCTAGTGGATGACTATTAAGACTCTCTTACCATAAGCATTATTGGTCCACTTTCTCAGTGAAAACAATGATCCCAGGCCTTTCCCAACAACAGCTACTCATTCTTGATTTACTTACTAACTTACCTTTTATGTGAACGTGTCTGGATTGAAACTGTTAGTTTTCATCATTCTCTGCTTCCTCTGGTTCTCCTTGTTACATGCACAGACACGAGTGCTGTTATGAAGGAGGGAGGTACTGTTGGAGGTAGAAAGGAGCTGCTGAAGGGCAGGTTAGATCACTTCTTTTGGTAGCAGTGTAGTTAAGCTGGTTTAAAGTGGTTCTGAAAATGCAGTACTGCTGTAAGTCCTGTCTAATGTTCCATACATTAAATTATTTTGTAAAACAAAAATCTGATCTCTTGAGGTAGGAGAATAATGTACTAATATTTATATTTGAATTAATTCTGCCAATGTTTTCTAATGGTAAGTCTCTGAAAGATTTGACTACATTGATGTTGTAGTTTTAGGCTGGATCATCCAATAATTGTCGCTTTCAAATATTTTTCCTGACTTCAGGAGATCCTACGGAGAGATGAGAGGCAATGCATTAGAAAAGAAGTCCAACTATGAAGTGTTAGAGTAAGTATTGTGTTCTAGCTTGAGGTTTGAGCTGTTTCTTAATCAGGAACATTAAATTCAGTTAAATAACAACGTTTCTGTTGTAATTTTTTATTCCATGAAGTTTGTGGAGATCTTTGAGTGCTTTAATATAAGACAAGGATGATGAAACCTATCAAGGTTTAGAAGTAGGAAGAACACCTTTAACTCTGGTCCAGGGAAACAGGGTTGAAGTTGTTTAAACTTGATCAGGAGGCTTATTGTGATTTTTTGCAAATTTGCTAATGTTTATGGGTTCATCAAGTCTAGTTCTAAGGTGATTTTGTTTCTAAATGTTTTTCTGTGCATAGTTGCATTCTTCAGTTGTGACTCATCTGCGGTAAAGTTTGAGTGATTTGAAAATGTTTGTGGTATTGTTTTTTCTTCTGTTTGTTCAGTATCTGAATTTTTTGAATTGTGACCTTGCAATTAGCAAGTTTATTATTTATCTATGTATGACAGATTTTAAGAAGACCAAAAAACACCCTTATACTGAAAGTGTTTTGGTTACTTAATCGTGTTGTATGGTAGGTGGCTTCAGTCCAAACAATCCGAAGTCCTTTAGAAGCTTCAGGGATTAAAACTGGTTCTGTTTGTATTTATTTAGTGGAACAAGTGTCATTCATGCATACACCAATGATCTGGTCTTCACTACTAATTATCTTTGTGAAAAGATGCTGTACAGTTTAAAATAAAATTGGGATAAAATGATGGTGTAGCAGTGAAGTGTCGATTTTTTATTTTATTTTTAATAAAACACATGTGCTAACTTTAGAGGTGTGAAATTAGAGAATTTGAAGGTGGAAGATAAGATTTTTCACCACAATAAGTTCACAAGAATTTTTGAGGAAACCGATTTTAGAAGGTAAAGATAACTTTAATGAATTACCTGCTTATTTATACAGTGTCTTCTATTTATATAATGCTCCTTTATCTGTGCAGAATTTTTAAAGCTTTATTTTTGTTTGAATTAGAGGTTTTTTTGAAGGACTTCGGTTTTCTGTCAATATCCACTAGTAGAAATATGCTGATTGAGGAAATGCATAACAAAATGAGAAAGGACTAATAAAGATGAACGGGATGAGCAGACAGACAAGGCTAAAAGGTGATACAAAAAAAATTTAAAAGTAATGTGAGTTACAGTGGTTGTAGTTTACGTATGTTCCAGTAAGAAGGGTATTTTTAAGTCAGTTATTTGGCAACTCATGAGCTACAAACATTAGTAATGAGGTTAACAACTTTGGAAACAATGAGGCAAAGGAAACAAGGGTCATAACAGATGACATGAAGTATTAATTAATAATTGTAACAGGTGAGAGTTCCTGGAGGACTCAGTATGGGGCTGCTTCCAGTTTAACAGTGACTTGTTTCTTTAAGTGCATGTATTTTCTAAGCAGTAACTGTTTTGGTAGGAAATAACTTAATTGCTGCTGTGAAAGGCAAAGTGAAGCAAAACCCTGATGCGCAAGATCTAACAGCTACAGCTTAATGCCATGTAAAATTGGAAATGTCGAATTGTGGACTTCAAGATTATTTTTAATTTTTTTCTTTTAGAAGCAAAATGTGTTTTGTATGGGATTTAACTGGGAGAGATGAAGGACAAAAGCACCTTAAAGTGGCTGTAGATAATTATAAGCTAGAAACAGTCTGCAAAAAGTGCCAGCAGTCCCCAAAATGAACTCATTTGATCTTACCACTTTAATAACCTACAAAGGTTTATCTACACAAGTAATATTTATTTCTCAAGTGAGGCTTTTTGTTTGTTTTGGGGTTTTTTTACTAGTTTAAGAACGTCATGAGGCACTTAACCAGCTGAGTGCAATTTTTAAATGGCACTTTTTTGCATTTGGTGTGATTGCTTCTTGCCTGTCTTTGTCAGATGTCTATTTGATGTATATTCGTCTTTGATCAGATTTTCATACAAGACCAAATCTGGATGGGAAATGGTGGATAGAATCAAACTGTTAAGTAGCCTTTAATAGTTGGGCCTTCATGTAATGAAAGAAGAATTTTTTCATAATAAATGTGAAGCCTGTTAGCATAGAACAGGGATAATTACAAGTACAAAAATGGGAGCTATATGAAGGAACAGCTGCAGCCACAGTTTTGTAAAAAGCGTGTTGAAGTCTATTATGTTAATCTCACATTATGTTGTAACTTCAATTGGGATGAAAACTAGAAATAAAGATATATGTTGCCTAAAGCTGCTTATCATTATATGACAAGCAGTATCATCTATATGTAGTTGGTAGTCTATTAATCCTATTGAAGTTTATACATAAAAAAAATAAATTTACAGTGAAGCCCACAAGTAGGACGGAGTAGATGAGGTTAAACACAAAGCTGTAGTAGAACTGTGTGAACCAGAATCTTGCTGCTAATTATCTCTTACTGGCAATCGGAAAACAGATGTCTGAGTTCATAATCTGGAGGATGGAGTTGGTGTATATCCCAGGTTGGCCATTTTACCCCCAAGCAGTGCAGCTGAGGAGAAGAGGGAACGAGTTTGTAGGGTTGTCTGTTTAAAACTGTTTGTATGTTCCAATTTCCAATGCTTATTCTCTTATTTATAGGTTATAGGTACCCATAGTTTGTTGTTGACCATGGCATTAAATCTGTATGCTTCTTATGTAAAATTCTCCTCCAGTCCATAAATTTGCTGTCTCAGTTAAACACAAGATATGCTTTATTAACGAGTTTTATTAAGAGTCGTGTTTTGTTGTACTCTGCATAGGAATTTCTTCTGAATTTGTGACATACAAATCTGTACAAAAAGCTGCTCTACAACTCCTTTTAATAACAAATCAAATCAGATTATTGCAGCCATGTGCTGCAGTGCTGTTAAGATGAGTAATACTCGAGTGATGTAGGGTGCTTCATTTTTGAAAACACCATTTCTCTCTCAGATGCTTAATGTTAAACTAATATATTCCTTGTCAAAATGTCTTTGCATGTTATTTAGATGGTAATAGTGTGTTAGATTTATTTAACTGTGTGGGATGATAAACTGCGTATAATTTGCATTTGAGAAGAAATGTATCAAAGGAATTAACATTTATGAAAGTTTTATAATCTTTCTAGCTTACTGTCATTGCACAGATGCCAATGTTGGCTGCTGCGCATAAACGTTCTGCTCCTCTTAGTTGAGGATGTTTTTGGTATGTTTTGTGAAATTGTATACTACTTGTCTTTACAGAGCTTTTAACAATACTCTGTTTTATTATTTTGAGTAAGCTTTTTATATTGACTTTAATGTTGGCTTTCTTCTTGTGCCGTTAGGTAGCAGTGAATCTATACTGTGTATCTCAGGCTCACTAATGACTTTTCTTTTCTTTGCCAAATGTAAGAATTCCAGATGTGTTTCTGTTTATGTTCAAAGCATGTGGTCATGGCAATCTTGCTTTCATAGTCATTTCAGAAGCAGATAAGGGTGTTTGCGTAAAAGAGGTTGTAACCTCTTAAGTTTAAATGAAAAGTCAGTAACACCTTAGAGAGGCAAAGATATAAGTCCTTTTCCTATTTACGTTTTTCTTTTAGTTTTTCCTTTTTCTCTTGCAAATTTTCTGCTAATGCTATACAACTAGTTCATGGTCATGCAACGTTTATTACACCTGGTTGTACAATGATCTTCCTCTGCACTAACATATCTCTGGCAACTTCTCAGGCATCTTTCTTGAAGCTAATATTTAGTTGTAGTGATACATACACACATCAGGCGTAAGCTAGGTGCAGCACATCTGAGACATAAAAATATTTAATCCTTATGGCTCTGGGTTTCAAACCAGGGCTGCAACCCTATTTATAAGTGTGAAAGGGAGCTTGATGTAATTTGGTTTGCAAAATCTGAGTTTATGGACAGAATTAGGATCCTGATTACAGATGCAAAAAGTGAGAATACTTGCAAGAAAGAGCTGGGAATTTTAACGTTAGATGCTCAATATGAGGAAAAAGCGACAGTAGAAACTTTAAAAAACCTTTAATTGTAGTGCTGCGAAGGGCAAAACAGTAGTGGAACGGCAGTCAACATGCTTACTGAGCTGATTTCATGAGAAGTCCTTTATGTTGTATTTCCTACTCAATTCTAGTAGATGTTTATTAGAATTTGCCATTTTCATGTTGTTCCCTTCTCATCTGACTACGTGCTGTAAGAATATTTTTTTGGTATTCTTTAAATTATTAAAACACGTACAAAGAAAAGTGTTTATTCTCAAAAATTCTCTGTGCCCAAGCCAATATTTCAAATAATACACTTTCCATGCCAGGTGCCTGCTGTAAATGTGCTATCCTTTTGAGTTTAAACTAGAAGATACTGCTATCCCACATTTGCTGTGGAGTGGCTCTGGTTAGCACTTTAGTGATACTATGTTTGTTACTCTGAGATTGTCAAGGACCTTACTACGAAAATCATTCACTATATTGCATGTGTTAGTTGGAAACCAGACAGAAAACAGACCCAAAACACCACCCTGAAAAACAGCAATATAATATTGCACAACGTTTTTTATATTAATGCTGTGTGTCTTTTTGTTTCAGGAAAGATGTTGGTTTAAGACGTTTTTTTCCGAAGAGTTTACTAGATTCAGTGAAGGTAATTATAGTTTCAGTCAATTGTATACTACTTTAAAAAAAAAATTGTCAGAAATCTGAAAATTGCATTATCATTTTCACCGTATGGTCATAAAGGAATTGCTGTGCAGTTGTGCTGTCTTGGTGAAAAAATCTCAAAGCTGTCTGTTGGATGTGTGGGGTATGAATCCCTGTAGTACAGGTGGCAGGACTAAGATAGTGATTTACGTGACCTTGCTGAGCCACTGGGAGAGAGGTACAATTCTGCCTCTCAAACCTTGTGGACAAAAGTTCAAAACAAGTCCTCAGATCCTCTAATATCAAATAACTTCCCCCTTCCCCCCCAAAAAAAAAGAGAAATGAGACTTCTGGAGAAAGAAGAAGGGAATATGTAAGAAACTAGCTTATTTTTAGCGGCAACTCAATAAACCATATTCTGCCTTCCTTCCTCAAGACTGTATCCGACTCATTCAAGGAAGATTTCGAGTAATTTCTACTTATGTTAATCCTAGTTAGGGATATAAATGTTAGTTGAATCTCGCTTCCATTGAAGTCCATATGTTCCCGGAGTAAAAAATGCAAATTTTTCTCAACATGGTTTGAAAAGGGGGATTAAGAATGGTCACCAAGTATTTTTACAGCTATAGCTGTCTTGATATGAATGTCTGGGTGAAATAATCTCTTACTGTTCATACATGAAAGTATAAATCATAAATTGATATTTTAGAGCTGGTTTTGGTAAACAGTGATGGTTTTACAGAAATGATAGAATTCGACTTCAGATTTAGGAAGTTTCTACATTGTGATTTAAATGGATAAACAGAAAAGGTCTGTCATGAGGGGTTTTGTTTCAAAAGACTTTTGAAAATCAGAAGCTAATGAAGTCAAGTGGATTTAAGTAATCCCTCTGCATTTTAATTTAAGCAATTATCTGAAACTGTATTCTCTGCTAATGGGAGAAATTGTAGTGGAAGGCTCCAGACGTAAAAGAATGAATAACTGTCTCAAAAATGATATTACGGAGCCAGAAAACTGACCAACAAAGGAAACTACTCTTTAGAAATCATGAAATGGAGAGAATAGCAGAAAGAAGTAGCAAGAATTGCCAGAAGGTGAAGCTGAGAAAAACCTTGCAAAGACATGAAAACAATGCTGGACATATGAAGAGGAAAATTAAATCCCTATTAAAAATAATCTAGGATTGGTTCAGATGATTAAATGACTCTCACTTTGTGAAGATCAGTGAACTGGTAGGCAAAGCAGGGCTCCTGATGACCATGAAATATGAAATTAAATATTTCTGTCTGTTAGTGACGTAAAGCTTAGAGCATAGTGCAGTGGTAATCAAATTTGTTGATGTTACACATTTAGGAGATGCCAGCTATACAGAGGATATCACTCTATGTATAGGAAGACCAGAAGGCTGGAAAAATTAAAATCAAAATATTTAACAGTGCAAAGTATGAGGTGATATAGAGGGGTTTAAAACCAGAAGGTTCAGCTTTATTTGAGGAGCTCATTAAATAACTAAAAAAGAAGTCAGGAGTTTAAAGACATCTCTATGTTAGCTGATCTCAAAGTGTTTGTAAGATGGAATGTTGTAATAGAAAGTAAGTGCTATCCCAGGAGGTGTCTAGGGAGGTATCTCCAGGAGGAAACATTAAAAGTCTTTGGACAATGCACTATATCTCATACGTGCTGCAAGTAGTTCTGTTTACCCGTGTTCAAGAAAGAGTAAGACAACCTAATTCAAGTACAGAGGAGAAGTTGCTGAGTCAGCAAGCCTTCCATTTTCATTACTTCACTAGAGAAGAGTAAGAAACCTTCCTGTGTTTAGCTTAGTAAATGGTGCCTTGAAGATAACGGGACTGCTAATCCATGCTTTCTGTATGTAGCCATATCACGTATGCAAACACTATGGGGGGAAAAAAAATAGTTGTACTAAACCAAGAATTGGGGCTTGGGGGGATGCAGGGAAATGATTGTTTAGTTTGCAAATTAGGAGTCTTCCCTGTCATTCTAGAGCATGCCTTGAGCAAAAGTGGAGGAAAAAAAATTGTTCTTAGGAAATATTTTAAGAGCAAATTTTCAGTACATTTCCTTCAAAGTTGTCATTTGCCGATATTTCCCATAAATGGCTCTCTTCTGTTGTGGAAGAGGTGTGTTTTTCTGACTGACTTGCTATGTTTACACCCTACTAATGATCTCAAAGTTGAAGTGAAGTCTTCTTGGCATACTTGAAAGAGCCAAATAACATATGCCATTAGGCATGGAAGTCAAGATGATGCTGAAACAGGCTAAGAGAACAACCTACGGGCAGAGTGAAGTATCTTTCAACAACTGAGTGGCTGAAATACTTGGGACAAGTTGAGCAAGCAGATTTTGTGTGTGTGTGTGTACTGTCCCGCTCCTGGTATTTGCCAGGTGTTCAGTTAAGGGTGAGGTCTTCAGTTCCCTTAATGTTGGTTTTCTCTGTAAAAAGGAAGATAACAGAAAGGTCCAGTGTAGTGTGTCTGAGTCCTAATAAAGTCTGAGGCAGCCGTGGGTGCAGTAGGGAGGTCTCCTGACTGCCAGATGCTTTCTATGCTTTCTTTATCGTACCCAAATATCCACAGCCTGTTAGAGTACTGATCCACCTAATAGTTGGTAAAAGGTTCCGCTAAAGTGACGCAATAATTTCAAATTACAACCAGATGGCAATAATTTATAACATAGTTTACGTGCTGAGCTGAGGGGGTTTTTTTCAACCCGCATATGTGTCGTTGCAAAACTGATCATCAGTTTGGATGTGAATATGCAACACCCTTGGATCACCACTATTAGAGTAACTCTTTTCTGAACACTCCTTTTAAAAAATGCTGCCTGTTTAGAGTTCTGAATGTTCTTTAGAGGCTTACTAAAAATGAATGTCTGACCTGACTGGAAGTGCTAGGGACAAAAGGAAGTTTATGTTTGTGTAGTGCCTGGAGCTGTTAACAGACGACATGAAAGAACGAAGAGTTTTTAATGCTGTTACAATAGGACATTCAGATGTGTTTTGGTAGAGGAACAGTGGTAATTCCTGTCTTAACCTCGACATATTGCAAAAATCAGCATGGTTTTACCTTCTATCGTTGCTGTTAGTTGGAAGATATGTTAGAAATGCGTATTACTAAGGTTGTTTTAAACCTGTTCAGTCACTTCAGACACAGGTCAAGCTTTGGCAAAGGGAAAAATAGATGGGTTTGTGGTTTTGACATTTTGGCACTGTGTGATGTAAATAGTGGGTGACCTGACCCTACACTACTTACAGAGCATACCTGTGCTTTTAAGTCTTTTCCAAACTACATGATTCTATGGCTCTTACGGTTAGGACAGGTGAGAAGGCACTTTTGTCTAGATGATTTCTAGTGTATAGAAACAGATGTTTTTAATCAGGATTCTTGATTGCTTGTTTAGTTTTGGGGTGTGTTAAAGAGATTGCTTCTCAGATTCTGTTTTTATTTTCATATGAGTGGCAGCCTTTCCAGGGATTATACATTATATACAGGCAGATGCTTCACTTTTCATAAGTCTTAGTTTAGTTTTTTTGGGGTTTTTTTGTTAATGCAGTTGTTTGAAAGCCTGCTTGTATCCTCTATGTGCTTTCTTTTTCAGGATATGTAATAGGTGTCTTGCTGTGTCCCACTGTCCCAGATGTTGGGAGAACGATTTGTGCTGCTCTTTCTAAGGGGTTATTTCTACCCTGAAAACCGTTAATAAAATGATTTGCAATATAGTTAAAATAGTTCAATTTAAATGTTTGTTTTACTTTTTACACTGATTTTTAATTCACAATTTAAATTTTATCTTTTTATGTGGAAGTTATTTTGCATATTATCAGACTTCAAGAAACAACTATGTTATGGATAGTCTAAGATATTGTGCGTAGAGATTAAGATACAGCTACAACTGGGTTGTTACTCCCAGATAAGAGAATGGTGATTTAGGTTTAAAAAGTAGTAGGAAGGTGTAGGTTATTGTGGTTTTGCATTGGTACACAGTTAAGAAGTTGGGAGAAATGAGGAATCTAGAAAAAATAGTTCCTGCAACAGTTAACATGTCTTTTATTATAATTTATTCAAAACATCATTAGCTAGATATTCCCTCTATAATATATAGCAGAAATAATTTTGTTCTCAGGCAGAAGTTAGAAGGCAGAACTGTTACTTACATTTTGAAGCTTCTGGGTTTTTTCTTGAGAATTGTCTGCATCTCATTGATAAAGAGACTGTTAGTGATACTACGTGACTGAAACTCCTAAAATGCACTGTCGCTGAGTAGCTTTTAAATAATTGATCTTTAAACATTTTAACACACAGGCCAAAACACTACGAAAATTGATCCAACAAACTTTTCGACAATTTGCCAACCTCAATAGAGAAGAAAGTATTTTGAAATTCTTTGAGATCCTCTCTCCAGTGTACAGATTTGACAAGGAATGCTTCAAGTGTGCTCTCGGTGTAAGTAGCAGAATGTGACAGGCACCAGAATACATGCACGCTGTAGTTACGAGTCTAATCGGTTTTGCTTAGTTCTGCAACTAATTGCTTGCACAGTTCCTGTTTTAATGTAGAGACAATTGGATTTCATTTACAACAAAATATATTTATTGCTTTTATTTAGAACTTTCTCAGTTGACTGTTAAAAAAGCACCATTAATTAATAAGGTAAGAATTGTACGTTATTAAGTATTTTTATTGGTGCTTTGTTTCTGAAGGTGAAGCAACTTTTAAGCTGGTTTCATGAGGAAATGAGGCTTCCCAGCGTCTGTTGTAAATTTTCCTCTAATGCCTTTTAATCTCTACCAGTTTCAAACAAATACTGGGAAAGGGCCTAAAGTCTGCAAGCTTTGTGAAAATAGACACTCAAGTAGAAATTAGAACATGAACATCAATGTCCGTGAGAAGAGGAAATATAGGAAATATATAGTTCTCATGTAGGCCTAAGATAAAACACATGGAAACACATTTTGAGTAGCAGAAATCCCCAGGAAACTAGTCATGAGTAGTTTTGCTACTTATAGAATTACTTGATTTTAATATATTTTAAATTATCTGAAGAGTTTTAAAACTTCTAGAGATTAATGACTAAAACCTATAATTATAACATTGAAGGATAGCGTTCCATGGCAAGGTCTTGTCTTACTATTGAAATTTTGCCCTGTCTTTCTCCTTTGATTCTGAAGTCAAGCTGGATTATTTCAGTGGAACTGGCAATTGGCCCGGAAGAAGGAATCAGTTACCTTACAGACAAGGGTGCGAATGTAAGTCTACTTCTGTTTTCTTCTCTCAGTTACTGTCTTAACAACCGTGAGCTGTTGTGAACTCAGCTTCACACAAAGGGGAATGACAAGTCTAATCTTTGAGTTAAACGCAGAAGAACTGGGATATTCAGCTTATACAGCAGTTATTCAGATATTAATCTCATCATTTGCGATTGGAGGAAATGCAATTGGTTAAGTAGAGAGACGAGGTCAGCCTTAGCACTGAATTTGTTGGCTTTTGTTCCCAGTGAAGTGCTCGCTTGCGGAACTTGAAGCACTGGTGGTGACTTTTTAACGATGAAATATGCAGATTATTCTAAATTATTCTCCTCTTTCTTAGGAATGTGTAAATGAGGAGCTTGTTTAATCGGTTAGTGTCTAGCATTTGTGCAGCCATTGCTGGCTTATTTGCTTTACTTCGTACCCTTAAGAGCCTTTTCATTACCTGATATTGACTGTATGACAATATTTCCATTACACCCTCATTGTGCAAAGCAGTTATGTTCAGAGAGGTGGTTCTAGCAAAATATTTGGTACCTTTACAATCATGACTTAAGGTGAGCCCATGTGCAATTAGTTCAAAGGTAGTGAGAAGGTTTGGAGATCAGGAATAGGTAGCCAGCTAAGAACATACCTTTTACAGCAGTCTGGAGGTATGTAAGTATGCTGTGAGTGCAGGTTCCATGTGGTTAACCTGTTGAGTTTTCTGTCTTGACCTCCAAGAGGTTGTTTCCGCGCTGTCCTTTAGCATGTGCCTGGAATTACTTAACAGTGACCTCTGTAGGCAAACTTGGTGCCTGGTTTCGTTTTGCGAATACTGTGGGTATTTGTCTATGTTGTTAGCCGAAGCCTAAGGAAACTGTAGAAGGAAACAGAGAAACAGATTTCTGCAAGTGTAATTTGGAGATCAAAGTCTACATGTGTTTCTGCAACATCAGGAATAAAGGCAAAGTATTTTGCTGTAATTTTGAAATTTTCCTTACTTTTTCCGTTGCCTTTCTGCAGCCAACTCATCTAGCAGACTTTAATCAAGTGCAAACTATTCAGTATTCAAACAGTGAAGACAAGGACAGAAAAGGGATGTTGCAACTCAAAATAGCAGGTGCACCTGAGGTATGATATTGACAGTTGTGATAAACTTACTGGCTTTGGTTTTCCTGGGAAGGGGTGGATATTAGTAAACTCGTAATGAAGATATTCTGTATATTTTACTTTTGTTCTGGTCTGTAACTTCATTCTAGATTTTTCTACTGTCAGTGTAATTGTGATATACTAAATGTATATTTCACTTTTGTACGTGCATGTTTAAGCTGGGGACTGCCTATCTGTGTATGTGTACAAAGGTTTCAGTTATTCTTAAATTCTCTTGCTGCTCCCTTAGTTGCAGTCAGTGCATTATAATTTAACATTTCGCATTCCAGGCATTCTGCAGTTGTTTGATTTTTCTTATTCTTTAAGGGGAAGTTTAGTGTGAGCAGTCGTTATTATACTAGTTAAATATTTTTGGTTTTAAAATAGAGTTAGAGCTCATTATATGTTTTTAAGTTTTGCATCTGATGCTTGTAGACTTTGATATTTGTAAAAGAAGCTTAATTTAAAAATTAAGTGCAACTTAATAGTAGCCCGCATATGTATATGATGCTGAGTCCTAAAGAGGAAACTGAGCCATTTCACTTTTGTGAAAAGGGGAAATAGAAAAAGGGAGAATTTGTTCCCTCATATTACGTGGAGGCAGAACTGGAAGTGAAATCTTTTCCTTGGTCCAATGCACTGGAAAACAGTCACTGTGGTAGAGAAGGATTGAGGGCAAGTTGGAAAATCTGTGGAGAGGATGATGAATGTTGGTAGTATTAAAATTAATAGCTTGTCTCTGTGTCTCTCATTTCTTTTTCCACTGTCCATTTTTTTTTTCCTCTTTTTTTTTGATCTTTTTTGGAATTGGGAAGGTTACTTTTTAGGGCAAAGCATAAATTGCTGCAAAAGAATGGAAAAAAGATACCACCTGTAAGAGCTTTAAGGAATAAGCAACTCCTTCAGAAATGTCATAATTATAGCCTTTAAAGTTATAGCAGTTGTAATGAATAGTGATTGACTGAAAGTTTAGCTAGCAAGCCACTTAGTAAGCCCGGATTAATATTACATTTGGATGGAGGGTTTTATCAGCTGTGCTTTCTGAACCTCCTGTTTTAAATTTGCTACAGAAAAGGTAAAGCAAGAATCTGGTAGTTCTTTGCTCACCCACATCTTTCTGTTTACTGTTTGCAAGTGTGTGTAAAGTTCTGATGCAATGACACAGCTGTTCTACTCAGTGTTTGCAACTACAATAATACCTCTTTGTTGGTGCCTTGTTTTCTTCCTTCTTTAGCCTCTGACAGTGACAGCACCATCCTTAACCATTGCAGAGAATATGGCTGACTTGATAGATGGATATTGCCGACTGGTGAATGGAGCTACGCAATCTTTTATTATCAGGCCACAGAAAGGTAAGGAGATGTTTCCTTCTGGTAGTTGCTATGCTCATATCTACTGAGAGATTATTTTGCACTTGAATAGCAGACACAAGGTAGCAGCAAAACCCTCACTTGGAGGCTCTTGTCTTTCAGGGAGGAACCATGAGGTATTTTTGTTATGAGAAACACTGATAGTAAATGTCACTCCATCAAAAATTACTTAAGGTCTGATAATTTAGACTGGTTTTCAGTAATCACTGCTTTACACTGTTCTAAACTTAACTAGCAGAAGTAAATTGTCATTAAAGACACTCCTGACAAGGATGTGTTATCTTGAAATGTGATTCCCTAATATACAAGTGGAAATTCAGAGAAGTTGGTTAGGATGCATTTGGATAAGATTCTGACTAGTGATAATTTTTTAAAATTTCTGCCTTGGTCCTAGATACTCAAAATATGTCTTTAAAACATAAAAACTTTGAGAGAAGTCTCATGAGCTTTTCTCGTAAAATAGAACTAAAGCAGAGATGCATTTTGTCATGTTGATCAGTTGTTTTTGTAGCAATCCACAAGCTGGAAGCTGTGAGGAGGGTGCGGGTATACCTGTCTTTAAAGAGAGAATTTTAATTAAATTTCATTAGAATGTTTTCTAATATCAGATTGTTTTAATTATTGGAAAACATCCAAGCAAAGCTGCTTAAGAATGAAAATTTCTGTCATCCTGCACTGATCTTTACTCATGGAAATGTGTCCCATTTTTTTGATTTCTAAAACAATGAATAAAGTATTTCCTTTATCTCTGTTTGTAATACAAGAAAGTACAGAACTATCCTAGAAGCTCTCCAATCTGAAGCTGAGACCCTTTTTAGCCACATTTTTGCTTTTTTGTGCCACTGGTTTTCCCTAGTCTGTAGTTACTCAAATGGGATAACATTATTAACATAGTTCAGGTCTTTCCCAGGTCCATAGATAGCATCCTGCCTGTGCGTGGCAGAAAAAAAACCAAAACTGAAAATTCTTCATTCAGTAATGAAGAAATGTGATTGTAGAATGGTAGATGTTTTGACAGCACTTAATAATTGCTCAAATTATTCTTAAATTTCCTTGTTAGTTTGTTATTTCTGACCTTTAGTGTATGTGACTGACCTTTAGCTCCAACATAAGCAGCTTTGTTAGAATTTGCGTTAGTCATGGAACCGTATCTCTATACAGATCTTCCCTCAGCATAAACTCAGCTCTTTTAGCCAACCTGGTGCGCAGCTCAGTGATGATGAACGATTGGCACCAAAATGCGACACCAAAAGGATAAGCTAGCACCAGTGATAATGCTAGTTTATTGTTCTAAAAATAGGCACCACAAACCAAGATTTTAATTTCACTAGACTAATCTAGACCTGTGAGCGACTGTCTTTTGTGCCTTTTCTTTTCTGAAAAATCATGGTTTGGGGTTTGTTACAATACTTATTATTGACTCCCCAAACTTTCTTTTTAATACCCAGTGGATTGGCTCTTTTTCAGCCTGAACAATAGCAGCCAAAGTTGAGCTTTTAAGACTTTTTCATATCTTCACACATTACCTCTGCCCACCTCTCAGTCATACTAAGTTATTGCATAGCTTTGACTCTGTCCTCTGCTTTTTTCTTTAGAGGCACACAGGTAGAGCTTGCCCAGTTCTTGTCACTTCTGCACAGGTGGTATTTCAGAAATTTGGTCCATTCAGTCTCCTTTGCCAGTGCTGCTATCAGCTTGTTCCTCGGCTACTAGAATGGCGTTTCTTTTCTTACCTATACATAAATGCTCTTAACTCCACAAAATACCACTGTGTGATGATTTCCAATTCTGTCATTCACAACGGCAACTGCAGGCAGTCAAGGCCTTCATCAAGTCTTAGCTCTGTTCATCCCATGTGTGAGCTTCCAGTGTTGTGCGTTGTGGCATTGTTTGTGCTCCAGTCACGCCTGTTTCCATTTCTGAGCCAAACCTTGCTCTGCTCTCCTCTGCTGTTCCTGCCCAAGCCAGGGAGCAGCTCCCAGTCAAAATCTCTACAAGATTTACCATGTCCTCTTGAATACTTACTTGTTTCATGATGCCTACAAGCAACTGCCATCTAAGATTAGCAGGACACATGGGTCCTGACTTACTGCTGCTGTAGGTGGCAATCAAAATTGACCCCACTCTATTTGTACTTTTTCTTTCTAATTCTTGTCTTCCTCTGACCTGACTTGCTTGTCATTCAGCTGTTATATCTTTCAGACTCACTAAGCTCTGTGAAGGGCAAGATCTCTGTTTTTAATTTGGGTTGCACAGCTATGTCGTGCACTGTGGTTTGCTGGTAGGCACGAATGCAGAATAAATCAATGCATTTAATGGAGCGTGTTTATTTGTGTGATATTGTTATTAGCGTATTTTAACATAGAGCAAATGAGCAGTGATTGAGTTAAAGGAACATTATATAGCACTTTGGGAACGCGCCTGTTTATGCAAACATGAAAAGAATCCCTCCTGTTAAAATAAATTGTGGGGTTCTTTTGTCTGAAGTTTATTTTTTTGAAGTTCACAGCAACAATCAACATATTAATTAAACATTTTGTAGCAGAGCTGTCCCCACCATGATCTGCGTTCCCAGATCCCTCCCACAGTGAGCTTTGATTATGTAAGGCACATCAGAAACAAATCGTGTAGCAGCTCTTGATCCAACAGATGTGTTTTGTCCCCTCTTTGAGCTTTCCCATCCCCTCATTGTTGTAAATTTACATGTTTATTGCAAGTCTCCTCAAAAATTACCCTTCTTGATTAATAAAAGAACATGTGGTTTTGTGATATTATCTGATTCACTATCCATTAATGATAACAGTTTCTCTTAATTTGGTGAGAGCACTCGGTAGTGTTTAAGACCTGGACGGTACTTGGCATAGTTCCCTTCAGTTTGTTTTACTTTTTGTAAATATTTTGGTGTACAGGTCTGTTTAGACCAGTGTGGAAACTTTCAAGTTTATATTTGTGTTTCCATTATCACACTTAACACTTACAAGCAAAGAGCACAAATAAAGCAACTGATAAAAACTTAAACTGCTATTAAGTGGCTATTTACTGATTGGACTACGCACCAAGTAGCTTGCTTGTGATCTTAAGTCCAGTGGCTGAGTTTTGTTATCTATTAATCACTTTAAACAAGCTTCATAAGTAATGCAACTTTGTCTTATAAAAGGCTAAAAAGAGTTGGAAAAAAAATACCTGAGCAACTGAAATAGTTATCTGATTGTCATTCCTTTAAACCAGAGCTCGCCTTTTCATTGAAACATTCCCTTTGAATCTAAAAGGATTACAGCTAAGTGAAAACTCAGAATTTTGAGCTTCAAATACCAAAATTAAATAATCAGTTAAGTTCTCCAAGTAAGTGTTTTTTGTTTTCACACAAGTTAACCGTGAGCACCGTTTTCATTTTATTGGAATGGCAACATATATTTTAATTCTTACAATACTGTTATCACTTTGACTAGTTTGACCTCTCACTGATTTTGCATTCACCGTAATTGAAATTAGGTGAGGAGAGTTTACATTGTGGTAAATGAAAATACTTGAGAGTTCTTTTCTTATCTCCTGGAGCCAGGGGTTATAGGAGTGGTGGAAGGTACTGGGTGTATGTGCCAAGGTTTTGGTAGCAGCGGGGCTGCAAATCTGGCCGCTGTGAGAGCAGACCAGGGGCTACCGCGTGCCGGTCACAGCTGCCTCCACACCATTCCACCCCTTGCCTCTGAGACACACACACTTGATAATTATCATTAAAATCCACATTCATCATACATTCTTTATGACCTTCACTTACCTCAACAAAAGTTCCCAACATCAACATCTAAAGTACCGTCATCAGAAAAGCAACCAAAAAAAAAAAAAAAAGAGAACAACAGTCTATACACAATAAAACTTCTCTCCGTGTCCCATCACCGCTTTACGACGACACGTTCCCAACACCAGCATCCAAGCTCCCCACAATTATTGCACTCCCTGGTACTCTCCAGTCTGAATTTTGGCCACTACGTCTTTCAATTACTGTTGCTGCCTTGAACTCCTGAAGCTCCACGTTGGGCACCAAAAAGGTGGGTTAGCCCTGGCCAGCAGCCAACCTCAGTTGCTTGCTCACTCCCGCTCCTCAGCAGGACAGGGGAAGAAAATACAATGAGAAAATTCATGGGTTGAGATAAAGACAGGGAGATCACTTACCAATTGCCAACATGGGCAAAATAGACTCGACTGGAGGAAAATTACTTTATTACCAATTGAAATAGATTTAGGTAGTGAGAAACAAAGACAAAATTTGAGCAACACCTTCCCCCTACTTCTTCCCCCGCTCCTTGACTTTTCCCAGTCCCACCTTCACCCCCT